CTGAAGGAAACTTATTATGTTAGATGTGGCCATGTATCTGATACATGACTATGTAAAATTAGGAAGAGGAAAAGAAAAGAAACGGAAATAATTAGTCAAAGCAGTATCAATAATGTGTTTAAGACTAGAGTCTCTCTTTGCTCTCATATTTTAACTACTTGAAAATAAACTTATTGTTTCATTTTCTTTTGTTTCAGCTTCCTCATGTATCTAATAAAAATGATGGTATTAATTATTTTCTGAAATGCCAAAAGAGTAAAATGTATTGATAAAAGTAAAAGTATTTTAAAGAAAGTGTGCGTCGCTTTCAGATAAGCATTGTGCAGAATGGAAAGAACGGAGAGCAGTGAGTTTTATCTTCAGGAAATTATCCAGAGTCATTTAACATAATTATGGTAAACACTGGCGGCATGTAAGGCTATCATTTTTCTTCCAAGTTTTCTCAAAACATCAAATTATCAATGACTGTGGTGTTTTAACAGGAATTATATACCCAAAATATTATGTGAGAAAGAAATGGTTCTTTAATATCTGCTTCAGATACTATTAAAATAGAAATAAGGAGACGAAGAGTTGAATTCTAGGTCAATGAGCCTCTTTGGACTTGTTTCTTCATCTGAAATAGGAAAGGGTTGGACAGAGGACTGCAGAGCCACCACCCCCACCCCTTTTTTCAAGCTTTCACATCTTATGGTTATAATTATTTATCAGGAAATCATGTTCTGGGTCTTGTAATTGGGAGCCCTGGGGAAAGTTTGCGAGCAGTGATCTCCACTGTGACTCCATTATCGGAAGAGGGAGAGCTTGCCCTCCTCCTTCATTGTGAAACTGCCAGCTCAACTCTAAGGTAGCTCTTCCGGAGAAAACAATGCTCCCAAGCAAGCAGTCTCATAAATCCTCTTGGTCATCTGTTCTAGGGATTAGCCATAGTCATTTATAAAAAACAGTTATCCATATTTAGGAAGGCCATACTGAATTATCACAATTAAGACTCATCTATTTATTTAGATAAATCACTACTAGTGGATTAAAAAAAGTAAAATGAGTGTGTACAACAAGATTTTCATGGTTCCTCGGCCACTGACATTGTTTTTATGACTAATTACTAATTTTACCTCTCTATGTAAGACATATTTGGATGTCGCTTGTTCATGGTTCTAATATTTGTGTATACCTTAAGAGTGTTACTTATGAAGCATAGCATGGTGTTATAGAAAAAGACAGGATATCATTCCTAGGCTGTGGTTCCAGTATATGCCAGTATATCAGTCACTTACATCACTCAATCAAGAGCTGTGTGTCCATCATCTCTCTGCTCGTTTCCTGGGCAGTCAGCAGACACAGTCAGCTCTTGATGCCTATTTCTTGAGTAAATGAACATATGGTTGAAGGGATAAGTGGGTGAATGAATGAATGAATACTAATGGATTATATTGACATGAAAGGAAGCTATTTTACCTTTCCTTTATGTATTTAAATTTTTTTCTTTTCCACTTGAATAACTGAATTTCAAACTATGATTGCTACTCATTTAATCCCCCCAAATCCCATCTCATCAAATGCCAAAGCAGTCATGTACTTCTAGACTCGATTCAGTGTTCTATTACATTAGTATCCTACATTTCCCCTCACAGCTACATATTTCATTTAAAAGTGACACACACTGTGTGTGTTTCTGTGTTGGAAGCAGCCAAGTAGAGGAAGACTGCTTCACCTTCTAAGAAACTATCTGAATTGATTTCTCCCCGGAGAGAATTCTAAGGTGAAGAAAGTACCTTGTCCTTGATCACTGTCAACGTGTGTGTTCTCTTCTGCCATCATTCTTTATTCTTCGGGAACAAAAGGGTGGTAATAATGCTCAATATAATTTACCTTAATGCTTTCAGAGCTCCAGGAAAATATGTGAAATATTCCACTGGAGATTTTGCCCAAAGATCTTTGGTGTTTTTCCCACTGAAATCTATTAAGGTGGACTCCCGATGAGACAAAGTGGGCCCCAGAGAAGCATAGTTCAGCCTCTAATTATACATTGTGTAGCTAATAATGTACATCAAACCGAGTTCCCCATTTGAGAATTTATTCATTATTCTCTTCACTCACTCTATGTTAGCCTATCTAATAAAAGAATAACAAGAGGTCCTTTTTATTTTGTGCTGGTGGAATTGCGACTCCAGCACAGAATGGACTCAACATATGTTCAGCTAGTTTGGCGGTAGGGCATTAGGCCTCTATCTTTCATTCTATAATCCTTATTTGATTATGCATC